TTCGCTGCCTGCTGAGCAAGCCCAAGGACCAGAGTTCGATCCCTGGTACCAAAAAAACCAAAACAAAACTTAAAATAAAATAGTGTCATTCACTCGGCCCCTGTGGGTCGGGAATTCGAGGGCTATTTGCCGAGGTGCAGCCCGTGCTGAGGAGGCCGCAGCCGGCCGAAGGGGGACTTCGGGCCAGCGTGGCTGCTCCCAGCCTGAGCTCTGCGCGCTGCTGCAGGCCTGCTCCTCTGCCCTCTGCCCGGCCCCCCTCCCAGTTCTCGGCCACCGCAGCACCGCCCGAAGCCGGCAGTAATTCATGTCCCATGGCCCTGGGGACCGAGAGGCCCGGCCTCCGCCTGCCGACTGACCGACCGACCGACCGACGACCGACCGGGAGGCCCTTGCTGGGACACAGCTGCCCTGGCGCGGCTCCCTCGGGGGCGGGAGCTAGGGCCAGTCACGGCGCGCTGATACCTTTCCTCGGCGCCTCCCGCGGCTCCTCCTGCCATTGCAGCGCCTCAAGACCAAGTTGGGAGACAAGGTCCACGCAGGTCTGTGGCAGACGCCAGATGCTCTGTGCCCACACCGCCTCTTCCGCCCCCAGCTGGTCCCACAGACTGCAAGAGTGAACCCCAGAAGGCAGGGCCCGTGCGCCGTCCACGAGACAGCGGGGCCACGTGCGTGCGGGCGGGGAAGCCGGGATCCACGCTCCACGCTCCACTCCCTTAACCCTCTCCCACGCTCTCCCCACCAAAAAGTACAGAGCCATAGAAACACCAGGGAAAAAGAATGACTTTATAAATCGTTAGGGTGGAAGGATTTATAAACCAAATTTAAAAATCAATGTATTATCTATACAAGTATGTTAAACACAACAAAGGAGACAAATTGGGAAACTATTTGCCTCACATAAAGGGTCAATTTCAATTCCCACCCATAGCTATTTGAAAATCTCTAAGAACAAGAAAAAAAATTGTGAAGTTTTCAATTAGATGTGGCAAAAACCCACTAAAACGATTGTTTTAGACATTAATAATGAAAAACATCAATTGGGTGCGGTGCTGCATGCCTGAGATCCCAGCACTCTGGGAGGCTGATGCAGGAGGATCACAATCGTGAGCCCAGCCTGTGTTAAGGCCCTGGGTTCAGTCTGCACCCCTGCAGAATAATAATAATAATCATAATTATAAAATAAAAACAATAAACAGAACGGGAGAAGAGACAAGAGCAAAGTATCAATTTGTAAAAATTTTTAAAATTTGGAACTGGGGATTGAACCCAGGGCCCTTACACTAAGCCACACCCCCACCCCAGCCCCTTTTTAAAGGGGTCTAAATTGGTAAATTGCCCAGGCTGGGGTCCAACTTGCACCCTCTTGACTCATCCTCCCAGAGCGCTAGGATGACAGAACAGGCATGTGCCCCATGCCCAGCTCAAATACACTTTTGAAGGTGTAAAACGTCTACATGATGGAAAGCCACGAAGTAAAACTCCTTTGTGCCGAAGACCAGCTGCAGTCGATGTTGGGTAGGTAGGGGAGATGTCCTGGGCCGGCGATGAGAAAAGAACCTTCACAAGCAATGTTCAGGTTCCCTCTGAGAAGTCTCAGGGTCTGATTTATTTTTATATCTTTAAGCAATAGCTGGGAGGCATTGGGCGGAACATGTTTACATTTTAAATTGCCTTAGCAATTTCTATTGAAGTAAAGGTTATTTTTTTTTGTTAAACAAAGTACAATTCCTCTAAGCTGTTTCATTTCATTGAACGTCAGGAATACATATTTAAAAATTACAATTGTCCCCTTATTTACCCACACCTAAACAGAACAGAAAGTAACTTAATCAAAATCTTTATATCAGCGGGGGTTCAAGCGAGATTTAATCAATTAAGTGTCAAACTTGTGGTTGCCAGCTGGCCCTTGAGAAACTGCACAATGGTTAATATAGTTTGCTATTAGCTCTCTATTTTTCTATACCTCTATTCATCTTAACTAAATGTCATTTGGGTTCATAGTCCATGAGCAGGAGATATTTACAGCACTTGGAGAAATACTGAATAACTTGTCTCCTTAATGCATTTACCTGTCTTAACTTTCTTTCTTTTTCCCATTTTCCACTATTTCTTACATCTAAAGTCTGTCCTTTCAATCTCTTCGTAAGACCCCTTTAGTAAAAAGAATGTCAGCAATAAGAGGGGGAGTCATAGGAGTGGGGAAACAGGGGGTTTGAGGAGAGGTTTCTTTAGGAGTGGAAGTGGCAACAGAACTAAGAGAAACTGGAATTTGGGGCTTATGAGCCAGATCAGATTTCAATATGTCATTGCCAATTTGCCTCATGGAGAGTTTGTTGTTAGTCACAAACACAGTGACTCCTGTGATCAGAGTAACAATTATAAACATCATGGCAAGAAACAATAAAACATGAGGGTGCGATGTGTTCCACCCTTTCTTTCCCCCAGCTGGAACTTTGTCAAGCAGCACTGGAGGTCGGTTGGGCTTTGCCACCTTGGCCTTGTAGAAACTCAGAAAGTAAAAGGTACACTGTAAGACATAAAACAGGTTTGGGCCAGGCATGGTGGCGCATGCCTGTAATCCCAGCACTAGGAGGCTGAGGCAAGCAGACTTCCCCAAGTTTGAGGCCAGCCTGTCCTACATCGTGAGGTGAAGGCCGGCCTGAACTACTTGGCGAGACCTAACCTCCAAAACAAAACAAAACACCATGTTTGGCTGTCAGTTTGTGTAAGAACTTAAGACCTTGAGGTTCCTCCCCAAACTCCATCTAGCCAGATTCACACACAGGTTAAGAATTTCTGCTGCAGGGGGCCGGGGATTTAGCTCAGTGGTTTCACCGCCTGCTGCGCAAGTGCAAGGATGTGAGTTTGATCCCTGGTATCAAAAAAAAAAGAATTTCTGCTGATGTGCACACACACACTTAAAATAGTTGGTTTTCAACTGAGAGAGTGAATTCTAAGTCTTTAAAAAAAATATTCAGAGTTTAGAAAGAAGTACCGATGACTGGCTCCACAGGTCACTAAAGGTAGTGACAAACCCCTTCCAAATTATCCTAAATCCAGGCAAAGCTGGGGGGAGCGCAAGCCATCAAGTATTATCTCTGGACTCAAAACTGCCACTTTCTAGTTTAATCACATCAGTACTTCATGTTCTTAGTTAGGAGACGGATTAGAAAATCTGTTAATTTTTTTTTTTTTTTTGGTACTGGGGATCGAACTTGGGACCTTGCACTTATGAGGCAGGCAGCGAAACCACTGAGCTAAATCCCCAGCCCTTAGATTAATATTTTAGCTTAACCATTCACCAATCCAATTATTTAAATACAGGATGACCAAAAATTGCGTATTTTTCATTAACTTTTATAAATAACAGGAAATATAAAAATGACAATTTAATCAAAGTTATTCAATAATTTTCCTGTATATAGAACATCTTAAAACATTCGATACACAACATATTACAATCTGGACAGTAGTATCTAGTCTCTTTCCAAATTCTTTTTGCATTATGGTCTTTCTTTGAATACACTTTACACTGTCATGTTAGCCTTTCCTTTTCGTGTGTGTGTGGCAAAATTTCAATCAAATGTCTACCCACTAGGTGTAATGGAGAAGACGTTGATGATGGACATCTTGGTTGATGTTTCTGTCATCCATATTTCTCAATTATTTGGTCTATTAGACCTAAATTGTAAATGACTTTTTGAACCTCCTTGTTTTCAATAACAAACAAGTTCCATATTGTTTGGTCCAGAAGGTGCATAAATATTGTATACTGATATTCTTTTCCTTACTTTTTTTTTTTTTGTACTGGGGATCGAACTCTGGACCTTGCGCTTGTGAGGCAGGCGGTGGAACCACTGAGCTAAATCCCTGGCCCCTTTCAGATTTTTCTTTTGCAGATCTTTGGCACTTCCTTTCTGTTCAGTCTCAGTGTCCCAAATGTGCCCGTTGTGCATTGTAAAAGAGTATCACTGAGTTCTGGAGAAGTATCAGACATACCTAATATACTTACGATGAGAGTTTTTATAGACTGTAGCACAAAATTATAGGTTATTTTTCACAAATAAACAACAAATTAGTAAGAGAAAATCAGAACTTATTAATATAAACAAACAGGTATATGAATGTATCTTGTACAAACAAGAATCGACTGACTGAAATGACACCTGCCTGAGTGACACTCGTGTTACATAAACAAATGTGCTGCCTGAGTGACACTCAGAGTAAACTGTTACATGGTCAAAAGGATATTTCAAAGTTAAAACTAAATTTATGAACTCGTATGATTTGTCTTCAAAAACCAATCACATTATAACAATGCAATTTTCAAATGCCAGATTCTCCTTGGAAAGAAAATGAAACTTGAGTGGGTGTTACAACTTTTATCTCAATGTCCCTCAAACCTTCATGTGCTCATGGGTAGGGCTTTTTGGAGCTGGCTGGATCTTGGGTGTGCGATGCTGGGATCAAAGGTGTGTGGTACTAAATCAAATGCACTGATTGGAATCAGAGCATAGTTCTGGGTGTGGCAGAATGAACTTACTGAAGACAGAAGTCCCAACCTAGATGTGGGTGGCACCACCCAAAAAGGCTTATAACCTGGAAGGAATACAAAGGGACAGAAAGAAGACAGGCTTGCTGCTGCTCCTGCCTGCCCTGCCATGGACTGTTTCTCCTCTGTGATGCCCCTTCAGCCATGTGCCCCGCTTCAGCCAATCTACCATGAACTGAAAGCTGTACAAACTGTGAGCTAAAATGAACCTTTCCTCCTTCATCTTGTGGGTGTTGGTACTTTGTCTCAGCAACAAGTAATAAGACAAGGGGTTACAGCTCAATGGTAGCATTTACCTAGCAAGTGTAAAGCCTAAGGTTCAATCTCAGGCATCAGCAAGAACAAAACAAAACAAAACCAAAAAACAAGGCAGGACAACTCCCAATTCAGGAAACCCCCTTCTTACATTCCAACAAATAAATTTCTTCAAATGATAAATCAATTCAGAGACTGTAAACCATGCAATGACGTCTTTTATTACACACAGGATTTTACAATTTCTTTCATCTCTCCTTACACAGCCAACAGTAAGTGTGCTGTTTAACATACTGGAACTTGCGGACTTAATCATTGGCCAAAGAAGGGAAATTAACCCCCAATCATGCTTAACCAGGAGGCCAGTGCATCTGCCGACCTCCAAGAACATGGAGGTGAACATGATAGACAGACTGTCCCCCATCTGCACCTTCATTTACTACCATTCGGTAACCCCTGTTCAGGCCTAGATCAGCAGCACATTTCTTGCCAACAATCATTAAATGTCCAAGAAGCTGGAAAAGAAAAACACTGTCTTCAGCACAGGCAATTTACAATTTCTCACTATTAAATAACAAACGGTCAAGCTGAAATATCAAAGTCAAAAAGTACCACGTTGAAACACTGCTTTGGGCAAGTATTTGGAAATTCTCTTAAACCCAATGATTTACAATTGCAATCCTATTAGAATTAAGTACTAAAACATTACTAGTTTCTCCCTTCCTCACTCTTTTTCTTGAGAGAAGGCCTCCCTATGTTTGAAAAGCTGGCCTTGAACTCAGGTAGAGCCCAGGCAGGCTTCTACCTCACAAGCCTCCCGCCCCTCCCTCCGTGCTGGGATTACAGGTGTGTGCTACCAAGCCCAGCTAACATCGCTAATCATAATAGATGAATTAGGTATAAAATCTGCTGCATTAGAAACTTTTTTAGCTGGGTATTGTGGTGCATACCTATAATCCCAGCAACTAGGAGGCCGAGGCAGAAGACTGCAAGTTCAAGGGCAGACTGGGCAACTTAGCAGAACTCTGCCTCAAATTTTAAAACAAAAGAGGGCTAGAGATACCCCTAAGCAGAAGAGAGCCCCTAGGTTTGAGCCCCAGTACCGCTAAATAAATAAATAATTTAATTAAATGTTAAAAGGCCTGGGGATATAGCTTAACACTAGAACCCTTGGGTAGCATACCTGAGGTCCTAGATTCAATCCCTAAAACCACACACATACACACACAAAGAGTTGGGGGAGGTGTGAGTTAAGGATAGTTTAACCATAATAGATATACTGATAAATGCTGAAGTTGGATGGTAAATATCTGAGAAGTTGGTGTAATAGTCCTCCCTTCTCTGAATGCTTGAAATTTTCCATAATAAAAAGTTACAGAAATATTTTGGAATCAACTTGTCAAGATCTAAAATTTTCATTTCAATTGGATTAAATCTCTCTCTCTATATATATATTTTTTCTTTTCTTTTTTTTTTAGTACCCAGGATCTAACTCTGGACCTTGAGCTTGCAAGGCAGGTGGTGGAACCACTGAGCTAAATCCCTGGCCCCTTAAATCTATATTTTATTATATATATTTTTTGGTACCAGGGATCAAACTCGGGTCCTTGTACTTGTGCAGCAGGCAGCAAAACCACTGAGCTAAATCCCTGGCCCTAAATCTATATTTTGTTTGGTTTTTGTTTTTTTTTTTTTTTGGTACCGGAGATCGAACTCGGGACCTTGCACTTGCATGGCAGGCACCGGAACCACTGAGCTAAATCGCCGGCCCTAAATCTATATTTTAAATTGAGGAAAATGTAATCTTCAAATCTATGAATATTTACTTAAGACTGTCAATAGCCTTTTGATTAAAACTTGGCAATAAGGTCCAGGGATTTAGCTCAGTGGTTTCGCTGCCTGCCTCACAAGAGCAAGGTCCCCAAGTTTGATCCCCGGTACAAAAAAAAAAAAAAGTGCAATTTAATGAAAATTCTAAAAAAAAAGCAAAAAAAAAAAAAAATTGGCAGTAAGTACAGACTTAATATAAAACAGGCTTTCTATTTTGCCCATTACCCCCAAGTGCCAGGGTCAGAAAATCATTAACTCTTTTTTTTTTTGGTACAGGGGATTGAACTCGGGACCCTGTACTTGGAGGCAGGTGGCAGAACCACTGAGCTAAATCCCCGGCCCAGGAACTCATTAGCACTTAAAGGGATGCAGACTGACGAGTAATATTCATGATTAAGTCTAGCTTACTAGAGATCATACAGAATACCAGTAAAAAATGGTATAAGCAACATTAATTCACTCTGATAAATTAAAAGAGAAGTACTTTATAAAGTTCATTGGATTGGGATAAGTATATGAGGAATACTGGAGATAATGAAAATATATCAAAGTAATTTAAAATTAAGAGGTCCTCTAACTGACTTATTATTCTCTTATTTTCTCTACTTAATACTGGTATATTTTAATAAAACATAAAGACTTCAGTACCAATAAGTGAATTAATAATGAAAACTGAAATTAGCACACAACAGCTAAAAGAAACAAATATTTAGAACATGTAGCAGCCTTCTAAACACCTGTTCCTTACATCTGAGATTACTTGCTTATATGTAAGATTTGCAGCTCACTCCAGCTTTAAAACTGTGCTTCCTGGTGTAGAAGACAGCAGAGAGTTACAGCTATATTCCTTTCATTTGTGGATAAGTTAGTATTCTGTAACTCAGTTCCAGGAGATATTTCCATCAAGTTCTATAAACAACAAAATAATGAAGGTTAAAACAGCCTGAAAAACTCAGGCACGTACTAAGGGTTCCTCTGGAAAACCAGTTGCTGTATAGAAAGTCTGAAAAATCACAATCTAGGTAAAGAGATACCATAAATCCTCATGGAAAGAGCAGTTTACTTACGGATAAGATGGTGAAAATCTACACATGTATTCTAGGGTTTTTTATTGGGGTTTTATTTTTTGGGGGGGTTATTAGGTTTTTTATTGGGTCTTGCTCTGTATCCAGCCTTGCCTGAACTCCCTACATAGCCCAGGCTAGCCTTGAACTTATATCCTCCTGCTTCAGCCTCCCAAGTGCTGGGATCATAGGAACACATCACCAGGCCTGGCCAAAATTTACATAAATACTTTTGGATTAAAAAAAAAATCTTTCAATGAAATATAATTTTGCCTTCCTAATGCAGTTCACTTAAAAGAATTCATCTTGTGGCTAGGCATGGTAGTAGGTGCCTATAATCTCAGATATTCAGGACACCTAGGAAGGAAGATCAAATGTTCAAGGCCAGCCTGAGCAATTTAGCAAGACTCTGCCTCAAAATAGGGGCTGGGGATTTAGCTCAGTGGTGCCACACTTGCCTCCCAAGTGCTAGGTCCTGAGTTCAATCCCTGGTACTGGAAAAAAATAAAAAATGACTGGGGATATAGTGCAGTGCTCCAGGATTCAATCACCAGTGCCCCACCTGCAACATTCTGACAACTCAGGATTCAACTATAAAAATTACAAATTATGATATTACATAATCCTATCCAATAGGATCTGAGATATTAAAACCTATCTGAGGTGCGCCGGGGATTTAGCTCAGTGGTTTCGACACCTGGTGCACAAGCGCAAGGACCTGAGTTCGATCCCCGGCACCAAAAAAAAAAAAACCTATCTGAGGGCCGGGGATTCAGCTCAGTGGTTCTGCCACCTGCCTCGCAGGCACAAGGACCAGAGTTTGATCCCCAATACTCAAAAAAACCAAAGCTATCTGACCTGTGAGTCTAGGAATGTTGTGCTTTTCAAGGTATACCTTAATTCCTTCTACAGAGCTGAGTAAATTGACTATCCTTCTTTCTGGGCTGCTGTCTCTAATCCAAGTCAGCAAACTTTGCTTGCAAAGGGCCAGAGAGTAAGTACTGGGGGCTTGTGAGCCATGGTGGCTTCTAACAAAATGATAACTCGGTTCTGTCTTTGTGGCGCAAAAGCAGCCATGGACAATAAACCAGAGCACTGGGTTCAATGAAACTTTATGAGGGGCTGGGGATGGAGCTCAGTGGCACCCTGCCTGCCTGGCAAGCGCAAGCTCCTGAGTTCGATCCCCGGTGCCACACAAAAAAAATCAACAAACTTTATGAAAATAGGCAGCCAACCAGATTTGGCCCACAAGCTAGATTCCCAGTCCCAGCTGAATTTGTGAATTTAGTAACCAAACTTTTAGAACTATAAGGCATGTGTATTTGTAACTAGAGCTGAAGAGGTTCACTGACTTAATGGTATCTTAGGCAGACAAGATTTATTTGATTTGGACTTTCATATGACTGACTTTCTTCTATCTTGTATATTTTCACAAACTACCTTTTAGTCTTTTCACCACTAGACTTTCAGCTGTAATTTAAATATTCTCTATTTACCATTTTTTTCCTCCTTTCAATCACACAGCAGACCAATTCTTGGTCTTATGACATGCTATTAAAATGCATATCATTTTTTAATACATCTATTTTATCAAAATCAAACTATATATTCTAAATTATCCTAATGATCACTCCATTTTTCCTTAGTAAGACCCTTAGGAAAAAGAAAACGTGGTATCACAGAATTTAACTGCCCAATTTAAAAAGCAATAAAATAAAGTGTTAGAAATTTACTTACACTTTCATCATCATCTTCTGCTACGGAAATCTGGGCAATATGCTTCTTAGGTATCACCAGAAAATGTGTTGGAGCTTGAGGGGAAATGTCATGGAAAGCAAGACACTATAGAAAAGAAAAAGCAAAACAAAGTTTCAGTGCATCGTCTGGTAGGCTACACTTACTAATTTTACTTACTCTTTCAACGCGTATTTACTGAGCCCTAACCACACAGGAGGCGCTGCGTTAGATGCTAAGCAAACAGCAGTGTACCAGACACACAGGGCTCACAGGCCTTTTCCTGGACTCAAGAGTCTCATGGAAAGACGGACTTTAAATAAACAGATACAACTGCTAAAAGTCATGGGTATCATAACCAAAGGGTGAAATGGATGATTACCACGGAAGAACTGACTCAGACTGGTCAGCCACTGAGCCGGTGAGAGAAACTGATCCGGTGCAGGGCAGGAATGGGCTGACTACCCCGCCAGTCTGACTATGCCCACGCACACATTCTCCACCCGTCCAGTCCTGGCAATGCTCCACCCCAGGGCCTTTTCAACTGCAGGTCTGCTACCAGGCGCTCCCCTTGGCCTTCAACCCCAACTTCTGTCTAACATAAAATGTTATTCATTCCCCACCTTTGAAAAGCTACTAACTCTTCCCTCCCCAACACAGATTAAACTTCTGAAGAAACCCGATTACCTTCCCTCTCCTCTTCCCCAGAGCGGAGTCCCGATTGTGCAATTTGCTGGTTTATGTTTTCCTTTCCGGGTGGTGATCAGCTTTGTAAACACACACCCAGTATTTGGCATTTGGTTAAGGCTTACTTTCCCGCTTTCCTCAAGTACTTTAGAAATATATCTACTTCAGAATTTAAGAAAAAAATTTTTAAAAGAAATATATCTATTTCCTTTTGTAGAATTGAACACTGCAAGTAGCGCTTGGACAAATTATTCACCACTTCAGAAGTATCTGTAAACACACTGCATGAATGTGTGCGTGTCTCTGGCTCTCTTCCGCAGGTGCAAGGCGTCTGGAACACATCCACGTTCGTCTCTCGTGGGAGTGCTTTTTGGGATACTGCCTACAAAACGCTGTGTCACTCGGAATGCTTCCGGCTGCTGTACTGGGCCACAGAGGTCATTATTCTATTCATCATTATAAAAGCAACCGCAAAATTTTCAAACGAAATAGGCTTTTTACAAAACAAAATTTCCCCCTATCTAGTGACAACCAGGTATTTAAAGAGAATTCACCGCGGGGAAGCCTGGCTAACACTCTGATCTCACCTCAGCGTCACGGCGTTGAATCGGTGCTTTCCTGTGCCGCCGCCCCGCCCCCCCCCCCCCCCCCCCCCCCCCCCCCCCGTCTTAAGAAAGTGTTCACCGCACTCTCTCGCTCGATGAACCGGCTCGGTTCACCGGACCAAGCGCGCGAGTCACCGCCGCTAAGTAATGCGAGAGCCACGCGGCTCCGGGCGTCAGCGGCCCGCCGCGCGCGGAGGGCGGAGGGCGGCGATTCGGGCGGCGCCGCCGATAACGCGTAACCCGAGCCCCGGCACGCGCCGCGCCGCACAGAGGCCACGCGGCCGAGCAGCCGCCGCCCGTCCTGCTCGTCCCGGGGCCCCCCGGTGCCTACCCGGTCGTCCTCGAAAATGATTTTAGCGGGGATTTCCTTGCGGATGATCTTCCCGAAGATCGTGTCGCCCCCAGGCCGGGCGACCTGAGCCTTTGCGATCTCGTCTGCCATCGCGGCCTCCTCCCTCGCGCGGCCGCCGAGCAGCGCGGGACCGGGCGGGGCTGAGCGGGCCGCTCCGCGCATGCGCACTGACCCTCCCGGCGGCGCGGACCCGCGGGCCTCCTGGGCCTGCGCGCGGGGAGGACCGAACGCCGAGAAGTGGGGAGGCTGGGCCACCCGGCGAGCCGCGCCCTAGCCCTGTGGGCCTGGGTTCTTCCCCAGCCGTGTCGCCGTCCCTGTGAGCTCGGGGACGCCCCATACCTGTCGCGAGCAGGTACCGCGGGTGAAGAGGACTCGGACTCAGATGGCAGTTCACACACTTATCCTATATTATTATGATTCACTTCAATATACTTCACTTCAATACAGTTATCACACAATATTAAGTCTGCCAATTACCACGTCCCTGTACCAGTACTGCGCAAGTCCTTGTGGGAGCGCGACGTTTCCTCCCGTGGGGTCAGAGGGTCCGATCCGTAGACGAAGGGCGTCGAGTCGGCGCTAGGCTATCCGTCTCTCCGCTTGCCTCGTCCTCTGGTCTCCTCTGGTCGGCGGCGGTGCTCCTTCCAGCGGGATCAGGTGTGCAGATGTCTCGGTCGGTAGTCAGATCAGCAGATCGACTGGTCGACTGGTCGGTGGACAGATCGACGACTTGCTTGGAGTCTTCAGCTCCTTTATACTATTCTAACTGGGCGTTTGTGGTATTGGTTCAGACTTATCACACTGTCCGGTTTGGGGCACACCCTGCCCAATTCGGGGTACGCCCTGTCCAGTTTGGGGTACGCCCCGTCCTGTTCGGGCTACACCCTTATCAGTTCCATACGGCTTAGGGTTACATCACTCTTACGATTACTTCACACTTAGGTTACAGCACTCTTAAAATCACAGCACACTTTAGGGTTACAGCACACTTAGGGTTATACAATTCAAAAACAATTTCAAAGTGTTCTCCACACTTCTAAATCAGGATCTCTGGGCTCAAAACCGAGCTGGGTTCTACAGAGACCTTCCCAGCAGTAATCAACACAATGCCAGACGTTCCACACTCTGCCTCCTTCATCCCCAAACCTTCCATCTCTTTAGTCCTAGAAAATTTTTATTTTTAAATTATTATTTTGAAGCCAGGCATGGTGGTGCACGCCTGTAATCCCAGCACTCGGGAGGCTGACGTAGAAGGATCGCCAGGAGTTCCAGTCCAGCCTGGGCTACATAATGAGACCCTGTCTTAAAAATATAGATAGATAGATAGATATAGATAGATAAATAGTAAGTACTGGGGGTTGAACGCACTTCAAACTGAGCTACGTAATTCCCCAGCCCTACCTCACACTCTCTGGGACAGGCTCACAGTTGACCAGGCTGACCTCAAATTTCCAATTCTTTTGCCTCAGCTTCCCATGTAGTTGGGATTACAAGCATGCAACACCAATCTGGGCTTTTTGCTCCTTTTAATTATTTTTGGGTTTTTGGAGACAGACCCTTGCTATGTCGTTCTGTTACAGCAAAGTATGACAGCTCAGCATTATAGCCAAGTGTTACAGCTATCCGAAAGACTCCGGAGACCAAGAAACCTGAGGGCATCACTCAGAGATGGATGGAACCTTTATTATGCCACCTGGCTTAGAGGAGTTTGAACTCTGAAGTCTGAGTCCTGAGCAGAAGTAGAAGAAGCCTTATATAGAGATCCAGGGTGAGGGGGTGGGCACACATGCTGGGCGAGCATGCTCACAGAAGCGGAAGGGTGGAGTTAACAGAACATTCTTGAAACCTCTGGTAAGAATATCCAGCAGTTCCAACAGTTACATTCCTTAAACGGAACATCTTATGCAAAAACACAGGGGGCCTGCCCAGTTGTGCATTATTTCCTTATCAGTTCAGGCTGGCCTTGAACTCACTATGTAACCCAGGCTGGCCTCAAACTCCACTCCACGATCCTCCTACTTCAGCCCCTCAAGTGCTGGGCTTCCAGGCCTGCACCACCATACCCAGCCTCTTTGGTTCTTTTATAAAGTGTTGACTTCATATTTTGTCCATGTTCTCACTTTTCATTTTGGAGTCTATTTCCTTCTCATCAAAGTTACTAAGGACCTCCACTTCCTCCACTTGAAGCCTTAGCACCATTTGCACTGTTGACCATTCCCTCCCTACTTCCTCTCCAGATGCTGTTTTCTCCTTCACAGTGAGCCTCCAGTTCCACACCTCTCAATGGGCTCTGCTTCTGTAGCTAACAGCTTCCAAGTGTCCATATTTTTTTTTTTTGATACTGGGGATTGAACTTGGGACCTTGCGTTTTCGAGGCAGGTGGTGGAACCACTGAACTAATCCCAAGCCCCTCCACGTGTCCATATTTAAAAACCTTAACTACACCTCCTGAGCTGCCCCATTATGACACCTGACCACTTTGTCTTGGAAAAATTATTGATAGTGTTTTCCCGTAGTCTCAAAAGTGTCCCATTTTTTACTTTTGCTATTAAAGACATTACCGATACACTTGGTGAAATCTAAGTACAGTGATGTCTATAAATGGGACAACAGGTTTGAAATCGTGTTAATTGCCTTTCATGACCACTTCAAAATCACCCAAATCAAATGGTCCGGGTGGGGCCCTCTAAATGTTTCTGGGGAACACACTTGCTGCTGGCCCTTGAACCATTTATTCCAGATCACTGATACCGATACAAGGGAATGTTCTGGAAGGAAAAACCCACTGATGCATTCAGCGGTACAGGTGTATCTGTCTGCAACTTCCTCCCAAATGGTTCAGAAGGGAGAAATGCCTGCAGACAGGTAAGCAGACAGGAAGGGATAAAGTAATTTTAGTAAAAAGTATATACAATTTCTATGTATTTTCCTTGCAATTTTTCTGTAAATCTGAAATTGTAAAAAAAAAAAAAAAAAGTGTGCTGCTCTACTCAAAGCTAATCCAGAGGTTGAAGCAGGAGGATCTTCGGAGGCCAGGAGTTCAGGGCCAGTCTGAGCAACATAGGAAGGTCTTGTCTTTAAAAAAGAGTATGGGGTGAAGGGCGCACAGGTAATGGGGAAAAAAATAAGAACCAAGATATATCATGTACAGGTACAAACACCCAAGATAAATGTAAATGAATTGGATACCTAAAATGTACCAATAAAATGTACCAGTAGGGGCTGGGGATTTAGCTCAGTGGTTTCATCACCTGCTGTGCAAGCGCAAGGACTTGCATTCGATCCCCGGTACCAAAACAAACAAACAAACAAACAAACAAAAAGTACCAATAAAATTAATTTAAAAATTAAAAAAAATTTTTAAAAAAGTATGTGTGCTATTTTGGATAATAAATAATAAGGTCAAATTTCACTAGGTCCAAAGGCTGTACCATCTATGATGACCCAAGTACCTATCTACTATTTACCTTTCCCCTTCATTCCAGATTAGTCTAAAAGATGCATTACTGATTACTCACCACCTACCTCTACTGTTTACCAGGCACTTGAAATTCATTTTTACTCCCTCTGCAACAAGCCAAAATGTCTCCTTGCAGCATTCTGTATCTACTACACCAAGCCAAACCTTGAAATCATCCTTTACTCATCTCCCTGTGCTTGCAAGAGATGTCATTATCCTACTCTTGATTCCTCTACTCCCACTGCTCTACCCCAGCCACTGTATCTCTTGCTTAGAGTGCTTGAGGGGGCTCCTAGCTGGAGAGCCTCTCTGCTTCCACTGTAGTCATCTGCCACACAGCAAAAATGATCTTTGTAAAATAGAAATCGTGATGTCTGCTGGTAATATTCCAAGGCATCCCTTCCCGCCACAGAATAAAATCCAAAGTCCTTACCTTGGCCCCTAGGTCCCAAGGCGATAAGCCTATGGCTGCTTCTCCAACCTCATTTCCTTCCGTTTCAACTTTATGACTGGCTTCACCCAAACTGAGTGTGGTGAGTGGAATATGCTCCTGTTCTAATTCCTGAAGCCTGTGAATGTTGCCTTACACAGAAGAGGGATTTGCAGATGGCATTAGGTTAAGGATCTCAAGGCAGGGAGGTTTCTTGATGATCCAGGTGGGCCCAGCTGTGATCACTGTTGGACGTGATGGAGGGAAGTGACAGAGAAGATGTGAGGATGGACGAAGGTGTGAGCCAGAGATTTGGAAATGCTCCATGGTGGGCCTGGATGAGGGAAGAGGCCATGAACAAGGAGCGTTCTGGAAATCATAAGTCAGATTGCGTTCTCCTTTGCTAAAATCAAGGCATCAACAGGGCTGCATGCCGGGATCCAGTCACTTGGCTTCTCTGGAAGCCAGAGACTGCCTGTTGGCCTTGGTTTGTTGCCGCTTCCTCTTGCAGGAAGGAAGGAGAGGAGGCCAGCAGCAGAACATCTTCCAATCTCTCCCTGTCTCTGCTTCCTTCTTTCACCGGTAAGCACTTTCATAGGACTCACTAGACAGTCCAGGGTAATCTTCCCATCACAAGGTCCTTACTTTAATGAATCACAGCTGCAAAGCCACTTTTGTTATATAAGGTAATGGAGTCAGGGCTTCTGGGGATGTGAACGTAGACATCTTCAGAAGGGCCTCATTGACCCACTGCATAGCTCCATGAACTTGCATGTTGAACATGTTGGAAATTTCTGTTCACTTTTGGCCCCTGTATTTTGAGACAAAGACAAACCAGGACATGTTCCTAGAACAACCAGAATGGTAAACAGCCACCTCATTAGTGGAACAGTTGAAGGAACCATACAGGTTTATCTAAGAGATGATAAGTCACAAAACTGAACTGATTTTGGCATCATAGGAACTATATTTTCAAATATCAGCAGATTTGAACCTTTGATTAACTGAATACAGGATCCTAGTTAGCCAGAAATGATTACAACCATTTTTGAGAAATTGGTTTATAATCATAAAGTGAAATAGACAACAAGAACATCTTTTATTGTCAGCATTCAGAAGGGACTACAACACAATATCACAAGATCATCTAATTTATTGTTTTTTGGATAAAAGACAACATCCAGACATAAACGCTTTGGTTATGTTAAATTCTCTTCTGCAGCCAGGTGTGGAGGTACAGGCCTATAATCTCAGTACCCTGGGAGGCTAAGGCAGGAGGACTGCACTTTAGCTATGTAGTGAGTCTGTAAAAAAAAGGCTGGGGAGATAGCTCAGTGCAAAGGTCCAGAGTTTAATCCCTAGTGAAAGGGGAAAACAAAAACAAAAACTCTTCTGCAAATCTAATGTACCTAGGTAATTATTTAAAAATCAACTATTATCCCGCTGTTCTCATGATGATTTAAAATACAGTTAACAATTTGAGGCCTGGTGATGCATACCTGTAATCCCAGCACTTAGGAGGCTGAGGCAGGATTGCTTTGAGTTCAAGGAGACCTTGTCTCAAAAAAAAATTATACAGGGCCAGGGATTTAGCTCAATGGTGCCACACCTGCCTGACAAACACAGGGTCCTGAGTTTGATCCCCGGTACTACAAAAAAAAAAATGTATACACACACACACATATAAAATGATATAGATCATAGAGAAGAAAAAGGGTCATAGAGATCTATTGGTCCAAATCTTTCGTTTTTAATAAAAAGCAGTTTTACCTAAGTTAACCCGAAGGGGGGGGGGGTAGGGGCGGGGAAATAATGCTTATGAAGTAGGAAGATTGAGATTTTTCCTGATGGTTGCAAGTCCTAAGTTAAAATGTACTTAAATAAGTATTTTGTGATTGTTTATGAATATGATGCAGCTAATAAATTAGACATTTTCTACTCCTGCGAAACCAGAGTAGGCCAAGCAGGCAGGATATATAGGTGGTGAGAATAGTCTTGGGGATCAGGCATAGCATTTGTATCTCAGACCTCTATTTACTAGCCATGTGAACTTGAGAAAGTAACCTCGGGGGGGGGGGCGGGGAATAAATGAGGAAATGTACAAATTATAAGTTTTATAAGTCAGCATTCCAATCAATGCCCGCTGTAGTTGTTAGGGCTTGGGACTTTTTTTTTTTTTTTCCGGTACCGGGGATTGAACTCGGGTCCTTGCGCTTACACAGCAGGTGGCGAAACCACTGAGCTAAATCCCCGGCCCCCTAAGAATCTGGGACATTGTGTGCATATTTCCAAGGACGAATTCACAACTAGGAGCGGTTAAAATACGGGCTCGTGGGCCGGGGATTTAGCTCAGTGGTTTTGCTGCCTGCTGCGCAAGCGCAAGAACCCGAGTTCGATCCCCGGTTCCAAAAAAAAAAAACCCAAAAAAACCAAACAAATAAAATACGGGCTCCTTAACAGACTACCATAAGTCCCAAACTGGAGGAAATCACATGTAAGTTATCACATGTACATTATGCGCCAAAGTAATTCATTTATTACTAAACCCCATACGGCACCAGAAACTCTCCACACCGGAAATGACTTTGCCCCTAGAAAACATGGCTTCCAGGTCATTTCCGTTCTCCTGTGGCCCGTAATTGCGCCCCGCGCCTTCTCGCGGTTTTTCAATTACCACTTGCTAGTGAAGTCCCTCGAGGAAGCTTTTCGAGGAAGGCGGGGGGGGGGGAGACTACGAAGGAGATGCTGCATGGTGATTGGTTGCGCAGCGTGAGGCTCGCGAGGTGGACGGCAGTGCCAGGATGTGATTGGTTGTCGAGAGGCGGGGCGACTCGACCGTGGAGAGGCGGCAGCCACCAGAGAGAGAGCCATGGGTCAGGCTGCCAAGGTGACAGGGCCTGGGGAAGGAGTGGGAGCGGTGCCCATGGGGAGGGTTAGTCCGTGGCCCGGCGAAAGGTGTGTCCAGTGTCTGCCTGGGGCTCAGGATCCTCCGCGAAGGCCGTGGACAGCCTGAGGGGCCGTCGGGGGTTTGCGCAGGTGCGGAGCGGGCGGCCGGGGCGGCCGGGTGGGTCCCGCTCGGGAGGCCCCTGTCCTGCCCCTTGCTTCTCCGCCAGGCTGTGCGTCTCGGCATCTTTCCACATCCCTGGGAAGTAAGGAAGATGCCACAGGCAGTCCTGCGGGCGTGGGGGCGCACACCTGTAATCCCAGCCCTCCGGGAGGCTGAGGCGGGAGGACTGACTTCCAGTCCCGGCCGGGAAATAAAGTAAAAGAAAATAAGAAAGGCTGTGGGTAAAGCTCAGTGACAGCGCTCCAGCGGGTTAGATCTCCAGAATAAGAACAACGATGATGATGATGGTGATGCGCACCTGAGCTACACCCAGCCAGTGAGGTGGAGCAGTTGCTCGTCACAGCAGAAGGTGCCCAGAAGAGATACGGCAGAGAGCTGGAGGTTTCCCAGGTAGCCCGGGCTGGCCTCTAACTCGTGGCCATCTTTCTGCCTCGTCCTCCCAAGTAATAGGATTACAAATGTGCACCGCCACACCTGGCTAGTTGCGGGGTTGGGGGGGCGGGGTTCCGGGGATCGAACTCGGGACAGTGCGGTGCCACTGAGCTAAATCCCCGGCCCCTAGTTGCTGGTTTTTGTGCTAATGGAGTCACATTTCTTTCCTTTATTTATTTAATTAATTATTTATTTATTTTTGTGGTGCTAGGGCTTGAATGTGGGGGCTTGCACGCATTAAGAACAACACAGAGTTCAAAGCCAGTCTGAACTACCTAGCAGGACTCTGTCTCAAAAGCATACATAAGTAAATAAAAAAAATAGAGACCCAAAGACAGGCCACCTTGGGAGAACAATAGTACCTTTTTGGACTTAAAAGTAAGAAATGGCTGCAGTCTATCTCTCGTGCATCTTGGAAATCTGTTTTACCAAATGCCAGGCTATTTTCACTCCTTTTTATCTCTTTTCACAGACTTAGGATATTCCTGAGTCTGAGGATTCCAGTCCTCTGCTTAGAAATTGCAATTAAATGTGCCTTAATTATCTGAAGCGTCTTGCTGGGCTCTGTTAAAAAAGCTCTTAGTCAGGAGCTGTGGTCCATGCCTATCACCCTAGCTCTCTGGGAGGCTGAGGCAGGAGTATCAGAAGTTCAAGACCAGCCCACAGCAATTAGTGATTTATCGAGACCTTGTCTCCAAATAAGAAGAAGGGGCTAGAGATACAGCTTAGTGTAAAGGCCCTGAGCTCATGCCTGGTGTTACCAAAAAGAAAAAGAGAAAGTCATGATTTTGTGTATTTGTGTGAACGATTTTAAGAGCAGATGAAAGCTTCAATCAATTAAGAAAGACGAGAAGAAATAGTGTATGTGGGCCAGGGATTTAGCTCAGTGGTTTCGCCGCCTGCTGCGCAAGTGCAAGGACCCGAGTTGGATCCCTGGTACCAAAAAAAAAAAAAACAGTGTATGTACTAAACTGGTAATGTTGACTACCTTATACTGGCTTTGGCAGAATTATTAACTTTTTAAATAGCTTTCCCTCTTTTTTTTTTGCTGGGGATTGAACCTAAGGTCAGCACATACTAAGCACTTTCTCTACCACCAAGCTATACCTGCAGTGCCTAAAAGTTTTTAAACTTAAGTCATACAGGGAAAGTTATTTTGGCAAATCCTAGTTTTCACTACATAGTCTGAAAAATAACTTAAGATACAAACAGAAAAAGAATACTGTTTAAATACTGTTTGATCCTTATAATACAATTACGTAAATTGTGCATTTTCTTCTTTTGATGTCTGAATTGGTTTTCTTAGCAGGTTTTACAGCTCTTTAAAACACTGCACAGGACTAGACAACAAGTTTTTCAGAATGATCCAAGAGCTTTAGAAGGTAAATAAATATATATTCTTTACCCCTTTGCAATAAATCCATTCTTCAGGTAGCTGCTATTCTGAGGAACCCTGCTTCTGTGGTCAAGGGCATTTTATGGACTGTTACTGCCCCCTCCCAATAGTGTATTTTATAAAGATTAGCTTACATTATATCTCTTGAGCCATGTACTACTTAAAGAAAAAATTTAAAAGATCAAGTTTTTGTAAAGAATCAGCAAATAGGAGCCAGGGATTATAGCTCAGTCGCGCCGTGTCTTCCTAGCAAGCACAAGGTCCTGAGTTTGATCCCTGGTACCAAAAAAAGAAAAAAATAAATAAATTGGGCACCATGGTGCAAGTCAGTAATCCCCACATTCTAGAGGTCAAGGCAGGAGGATCACAGCAAGTTCGAGGCCAGCCTGCAGTACATAGAACCTGTCTCAGATAAACAGATTGGCTAATAAAGGAGAGATGAGAGAGTTTTAGTGTTCTGCCCTGCTTGCTTTATGTTCAGGTTGTTAGTCCCATTTCTCTGTTAGGTAACTGAATGTTCACTCTCTAGGCCCAGACAATTCATACTGTTAATGGACTGAGTCAGTGTAGAAGTGAGCAGCTGTCAGAGAGGCTGCAGCCCAAACATTGCCAAGTTTGTTTGTTTGTTTTGTTGGGGTTTTTTTTGGTATCGGGGATTGAATTCAGGTCCTTGTGCTTGCACAGCAGGCGGCCAAACCACTGACCCAAATCCCCGGCAATGTTGCCAAGTTTGACACCTCCCTGTTTTGAGTAGTTTCTATCTTGCTTGGAAGTCTTCACTTTAAACCTTAGGTTTGGCATTCGTCTGTTCAGCTTCAAGCTTCATAAACCCTGAGACCTTAAGAGGACACCTGGGAAGGTGTCCCCACTGCCCCTAGGGATTCAGGTTTTTGTAATTCATCAGAAATAACTTGTTAAATGTTAAGATACACATGTAGGACATACTCTACATAGATTCCTGTTTTAATTCTCATATCAGTTTTGCCAAATAGTTGCTATTATAATTCATTTTTTTGCATTTGAGGAAACTGGCAAAATATGGAAAGATTTTCCCTACATCATCATACTTAGGAAACAGTGGAGCTGGGTTGATTCCAAAGCCCAGGCTCTTCATATTGAAATGTGAGGAGCACAGAAGGGAGTTTTTATGGCTGTCTTCTACCAACACAGCATGTTTCTGGCTTTAAACTTTTTAAGTGAAATAATTTTAAGAACAGCTAACATTTATTCCATATTTACTGAGGACTTGATTGTTTTATAAATGCTCAAAAAACACTAAGGGTGATCACAGTAGACTAAATTTTGCTGGTGAAATGGTACCATAGTCTCAGTAGTGTGTATAAGCAAATGTTTTATTTATCACTTGGATTACATGTCAGCCAAGACACTTAAAATTTCATATATATATATATATATATGTATATATCTTCGCTGCTATATCTTTGTCTCTGTGTGTGAATATAGTTTAACATTGTTGTATGTATTTTTTGCCATTTTAAAAAGCATTTAATGTAAATTCTTAGATTTATAAATAAAGCGTTAATTTGGGTTTATTAGAATTCAGTGGCTATAGGTACCCAAATGATGTTGAGAGTAAGAAAAATATTAAAATGCTAAAAGTTTCTTTTTTTTTCACAAATTTCCTAGTCTGTCTGAAGCTCTCCATAAGACTTAGTACGTTTATAATGCTTTGTTTTACCTGAGGGCAAATCTATGCCAGGGAAGTAGACATTCATAAAGAATGGCGTGTGAATTACTGGGATGGGGATTATAAATTAGGAAAACAAGTAACTCTATGTATTTTTCTCTCCCTAGCAGCCAGAATAAAGATTAATGAAGAATTCAAAAGTAATAAAAGTGAGACTTCTCCTAGGAAAATAGAAGAGGTACGGTAATGGAGTTTTTAGTTACAGTAAAACTCTTGTCATAGAGGAAATGATGACAGTGGTGGGGTCTGTACAGTCAGACCCATCGAGTGGTGCTTGCCGCCTTCATGGAGGTCGGCAGCCCTCACTAGGTGGTGTGGATCACCCCTCAGAATCACCCGGACCACAGCAAGCTACCTGTGCAAAGCATGTGGGAGTAGCCATGCTCGAGCAAGACCTGCTGAGCCTACACCAAAACCCACATGGTTCTGTCTCCGCCTAAGGCAAGTGACCGAAACGAAGGAGAGCACTGTAGTAACTGGGAGCTACAGAAGAAACTTACACTCTTCTAGCTCAGCTAGGCAGTTCCATTTTTAAAATTTAAAAATTTTTAACTTTATTTTATTTTTGAGATGGGACTCACTGTTTATTCCAGTTTGATCTAGAGCTCCCGGCGACCCTCCTGGCTCAGCCTCCTGAGTACTGGGATTACAGGTGTGCACCACCACGCCTGATCAGGTTTTGTTTTTTTAATTTCTGTTGACAGAAGCACAAACAGCCACAGCTGATGAACAGTCCTATACTTGCATTTTGGTCACTTGCTCTAGTTGAAGACACTCTGCTGACACTAGTCTGTGAGCTCCTTTGTTCTCTTAATACATGGTATTGAAAAAAATGTTCAGTGATTCTTTTTCGGTATAAGATGTATTCTAGTTTATGCATGTTGTCTCTGAGCTTCCTATGTTAACTGTATAAAGGTAGGAAAAGGGACCTTAGATGGGGATTTAGCTCAGTGGTGCCGCTGCCTGCCTTGCAAGTGCAAGGTCCTGAGTTCAATCCCTGGTACCAAAAAAAAGCAAACTTTCAGCTGGGCTTGGTGGCTCATGCTTGTAATTCCAGCACTTGGGAGCCTGAGACAGGAGGGCCACCTGGAGTTTGAGGCCAGCCTGGGCTATATAGGGAGACCCTGTCGCAAAAAAACCCCACAAAAAACCAAAATAAATAAAGGGACCTTAGAAAGAAAATAAAAAACAGAAAACTATTTGCAGGAGTAGTTATGATTCTAAAAATCGGTTTGGTAAAAAGGAAGGCACAAATTAGGAGATGTCTTTCATGTTTAATAGAATTTCTATGAATTTAAAAATCTGATAAAAATGCATTTATATTAGTAGAGAAGAATACTTTTTTGGAGGGGTCCTGGGGAATGAACTCAGGGAACACTGAGCTACATCCCAGCCCATTTTTAATTTTGTTTGCAACAGAGTCTCAATAAGTTGTACAGGTTGGCCTTAGAATTACAGTCCTCCTGCCTCAGCCTCCCAGGTAGTGGCCATTAACAGCATGCACTACCATGCCTTGCTAAAATACTACTTTTGAAAGAGTAAATACCTGTAGTAAGCTAATGAGACAAAATGATACAGCCTAAGTATTTCCGCTTCCATAATATAAAAAGGGGAAAGATTTTACTTAAACAATCAGACAAACAGGGAATATATATTTATTTATGGCAGAAGTTAAGATGAATGTATAACCAACTCATAATGTGGAGAGAAGTTAAAGGATATATCAAGAAGTTTGGGGCCGGGGATTTAGCTCAGTGGATCCGCTGCCTGCCTTGCAAGCGCAAGGTCCCGAGTTCAATCCCCGGTACAAAAACAAAAAAACAAGCAAAAAAAGAAGTTTGTATGATTTGCTCTTCAATAGACTGATTAATAACATTTTGATAATTATTTTAAAATTTTGAAATTATGGTTCTTTTTCAGTCGAGTCACGCACAGTGGTGCGTATCTGTAGACTTTGCTACTTGGGAGGCTGAGGCAGGATAATCATTTGAACACAAGAGTTAGAAACCAGCCTGAACAATATCGCAAGACCCAATTCAAATAAATAATCTTTAGGCTGGGTGTGGTGGCGCATGCCTGTAATCCCAGCACTTGGGAAGCTGAGGCAGGAGGATTGCTGTGAGTTCAAGGCATCACCCTGTCTCAAAAAAAAAAAATTTTTTTTTGGTACTAGGGATCAAACTCGAGACCTTGCACTTGTGAGGCAGGTGGCAGAACCACTGAGGTAGATTCCCGGCCTCAGAAAAAAAATTTTTATAAAAATTGAGATCTGTTTATATCAGCTAAACTAGGAAAGTAAACTATCTTCCAAATTCACTTTACTTATAGAACATTAATTTTATATGTAATGGACATTTATTATGTAAATTGTATATTTTGTGCTTCCTACGACTCTCTAAATAGTCTGCAATCAAGTACTTAGTAGTGCTTAAGTAATTACATTCTCCTGTATTAGAGAGTTGATGAAATCAAGGTGCCAGTAGAAGACTAGTTCTCAAACTTGGTAGTCTGAACATGCCTTTATGGTCTTAAAAATTAAGGACCCAGAAAGCTCTCTAAATTGGGCCGGGGATTTAGCTCAGTGATTTTGCCACCTGCTGTGAAAGCGCAAGGACCTGAGTTTGATCCCCGGTACCAAAAAAAAAAAA